CTGAGATGCAACGGGAGGGCACCGAGAAGGATGAACGCAAGGAGGCATGGCAGAGTCAGACAAAGAGAGACAGGGCCACAAGAAAGAGAAGCGATGTCTACCTGAAAAAAAAATATAAAAAAATTGTAGTGTTTTGCTGGGACAAACTCAAGGCATGCTCACTACTGGGGAAGCAACTGGCATGTGGAGAAGACATGCAGGAGGCCCACTGTTTGGAGTAGTTACACAAGAATGTGAATGTTGTCTGATTTACTGTCCGGGCCTGAAAAACATTAGCTATAAGCTAGAGAGCCCACAACTTAAGAGTTTGGGAAAAGTTATGCATTAAATGTTAGGAAAAGAGCCTTGCAAGCCCAACAATCCTCCCACATGAGCATCAACACCCTGACAGACGAGTATGACCAAAAAGTGCTCCAGCAAAAATAAACCTGAAGCCCAGGCAGCAGCCATGCTGCTATGAAAGGTCTTTGAAGCAGTTTGGGGAATACCTGGAAGGGGGAAGCCAAGCAGAGCAGCAAATGTGAGAGTAAACACAACATTAATCAGCTGACAGGCTTAAGCATTTAAATTTGTTCTTTCTTGCCTAAAATCCTACCTGTAACAATCTATCTGTCTACAAACACCTTACAGGAGCATTTAGAAATCTGATGAGGATTAAATACCAGTTAAGGTACATGAGATGAGGCTCCGGTACCAAAACACACTTCTGGATGAATCTCAGTGGCTTCTGGACTGGCAGCATTTAAGCATTACAGAATTTAATTAATGCTGCATATTCTTTAGAGATAAATTTATTGCAATTATTATAGTGTCCGATTGTGTCAGAAATGTTTCCTTCTTTATTTTTTCACTTCTCTCTCCAAATATTTGTTTCATTATGTGATTATCTGAAACTTTTACTAAAAAAAAACTACACTCAAATAAACATTGAGTGTCTAACAAATATCACATGCAGACAAACATCATAATCTACATTTAACGAAAAGACCAAAGTGCTCAAGTTTGAGCATTCTGTTATTTCCTGAAAAAAAACATAACTGCAATCTCTCTAAAATGTCCAAGTAGTTAAAAAATTATCAGTCTAGGGTACTGTAACATGCACTGTTAAAATCTCTCTGTATATAAACACTTATTAGAGCTCCCAGGAGAAAGACAAGTGTTTTCAGACACACACTGCAGGCCAATGGCTCTGCACATTCCCAGCTCTTTGCTGCACCGTTCTTGACAAGTTTCCCTGTTTGGAAGCTCCACGACATTTAGTGACATTAGCCATCGAAGAGATTCACCCACTTCTATTCTGTCTTGCTTTAATTTTTAAACATATTCCAGAACCAATAATCAAGCCTCTATGAAGCATATGTTCTTTAATTTACAGCCAAGGAACAGATATTTAGTGACTTACCCAAAGGAAGCTGGAAAGAGGTGACCATGGAAAAACTCCCAAACTACCGTATTTTTCTTAACCTGTTCAACTCTGTGACATTAATGTAGCACTAATACGGTATTTTTAAAACAGAAACAAATAGCAGTGAAACATTAAAATCAGTTACCTGCTCCCTCCCAAAAGAACCCACACCAAAGATTATTTTTCCTAAAAGATAAAAAGGAGTTGATCAAACAATCCCTGCCACCAACCGCTGCTCAAAAAAGCAATGCAACTCAGGATGCACAACCTGTTCACAAGAAAACTCAAAGCATAAGATACTTGATACCATATTTTCACCCATGGTCACTTTGACAGATTTCCAGCTGTAATTTAAATCTAAGTCCAGTATGAGCTCATCCCTTCTACTGTACCTTTCTGAAAAACGTACTTTGTAGTAAAGCAGGAACATTTGCCTTTCACGTAAAACAACTGTACCGCCAGTTTTCAATGTGAAAACTGAAATAGAGTAAATCAATATCAGCTGTCCAGTTTTAATCTGCTAATACAGAGCTATCTGAACCCCTATTTTTTCACTAGTACCTGGTCTCTTTTGGCTTTGTCAGCTTAAGTGCTACATTTCAAAAAGGTAAATAAAGTTTGGATACGATTTCAAAATATTATCACTAACAAAATTTACTCCACAGAAATGGCTCTCACACTTAATACAGATGCATAAATACATGTAAATCTAAACAATTTAAGAAGGTTATTGGGAAACAGACAAGAGCTATGTACATGTATAGGAATGTGTTTTCTTATCCCTATTTCATAATAGTGCTTTACAATGACAAAAGTAAGTTAAAATTTCTGATTCCTAAAAATAATTTTAATTATTCTTCAGTTGTACAACTGAAGACCTGAAGTGCTTTCGTCAGGTTATTTTTCTGTGAACACAGGAAGACAATATAGATATTCATAAAATATTTCTTAATAAGCATCTCTACTCATAAATTAAAACCTGTTCTTTGTAGCACCGCAGCAGCACCAAGAACCAGAGTTCTTTGCCTCACTGTGTTCATCAACTTCCTTGATCAGGAACCATTTATATTCAGGTTCAAGAGAATACTGACAACTGTGCGCCTTATTTTAATTCATTTTAATTTGATGATAAAACCTAGGAAAAAAGAGGAGACTACACTAACTTCACCTATGTTTAAGCAGCTTTCTACGATGGCAGCTGACCACTGAAGCAACCAGGAAATGGATCGAAGTGGGACAAAAGTAAAGCAGTGAAGATGCTGTTGTGTAACTGAGCACACTCGTCCCCACACTCTCATTCTCACTTACGACAAATCCAAAGGCTACGGAACTAATGTCAAGAGACAGATGGACAGGATGAAACCTGCTTGCACACTCCCCCCTGCAAGGATGCTCTCTAGTGGGCATTCAGATCTACTGACAGTTACCTCCTAGATTCTTCTCCTAGAGGAAGAGAGTTGGTAAGCGGCACCTTAGCATGATCTGCCAAAGACTGAAGGCACATCCCCAACACCAACTACTCTTTGTATCTACATAACTTTTGGTGTTCCTATTTAAAGTAAGACTAACTAGAAAAAAAGACGGAACTAAATGCTTACTTATCTCAGTAGATCTTTTTTAATGAAGATGCCATGTTTTCAAAAGGATACGAATTCCATTCATTCCAGAAATTTTGAAGTCATCAATTAGCTGTACAACCATATCCTTGTTGGGATCATTAGGGTCACTTTCACGAACCTAAATCGAGAAAGTAAACAATGACAGTTAGCTTTCCAGATGAAGTTATATAATATTTTGGAGCTTCAGAAATCTTGGTAACATATTTTTAGGTGAAAAAAACCCAAAAGGTTTTTAAAAAATACTCTTTTGTACTTGTTTTAATTCATTATTACTATTGCTATTGAGCACCATATTGCATGAGTGATACTTACACATTTGAGCAACTTTATTTCATCCAAGGCTGTCTCTGTATAATGCTGGGCACTTTTTACAACTTTCATTGCAACAAACCTTTTCCCCCTTGAAAAGAACAAAAACATTCTCAATACATGGTATGAGCTAAAACAGATGTACTTTGATGAGAAATTTTAAATAGAATATTTCATAACCTAACATATTCTGACAGAAAACACTTAAATTACATCTAAACCCAACTTATAACAATATTGTTAAAAGTCTGATTTACTGAATATTTTGTTTTTCTTGATGCTAATGTATTTAAAAGAGGAATTTGGTTACACATTTTATCATTCAATCAAGGTATAACTATATTTTTTCATTAAAGATACAACAGAAATAAAAACATTAGCTTCCTCTCGCATGCTCAAGACATACAAATTTAATAAGCAAAGCTAATTTGTCGAAGAAAATAGAATTACACTTATTTGAGAGCTTTCATAAACTATGCCCATAACAAAGAGCAAAATAAAACTGCAGACATCTTTCTACATTACAAGATAGCAAACAATTTACATAACTTTGTCATGCATGTAAAACAAAAGTTACTGCAAACAAAATAAAGTAACGTGGTACAAAAAAAGTGAATGGAAATAAATAGTTTTCTTACTGCATATCCCAGCACAGCCAGACTGTAGAGAAGTGTCCCCATCCTAACTTTCTAATAACATGATACCGGCCATTGAAAAGATCACCAATTTTCACTGGATGATAGCCTCCTTTGATGAAAAAACAAGAAGAAAAAGAATATTCAGAAAACAAACAGTAATTCCCAGGTTTTCAAGTAATTCTTGTAGTATAGATTTTTCCTCTTCAAGCTCTCCTGTACTATAAATAGGAAATCTGAAGAAAATTTTCCTCTGTTGTTGAAAA